TCCAGTGGTGTTTACTGCTTTTCATAAAAAGGAGGAAAAACGATGAAAAAGAAAGCCTTGGTCTAGCCGCCACTTTAAAAGTTTGCATTCTTAAATTCGTTTTTCTTTGTATCTGCTCATATCAAAAAATAAAAATAAAAAAAAAAGTTCTAGGTGAAATCTTTTTTTACATTACCAGTTTTCAACGGATCAGTAATAAAATTGGTTTTTATTTGTTTTTGTTTTTTTTTGTTGCTCTTTATATGCTTCTCGTGGCTTTTTCTCAGTTTTTGATATTTTCATTTTTAGCAGAAAATAACTTCTTTTTGCCGTTGTTTTTGAATGTCAGTGCAACAACAGCAGCAGCAGCGACAGCAACAGCAACGGTTTGGTGCTGCAACTGATGTGCTAATTGGTTTTCCTGGCTTAGATCAATTCAGAGTTTGAAAAAAAAGTTGAGTTTTTGTTTTTTTTAATTTTTTTTAGAATGTAGCAAGGCAAGGAAATAATGCGTAGAATCTTAAAAAGAAATCTTGGCATTTAGCTTACGTTGTGAAAGTTTTGCTTAAGTAAAAAAGTTTTTTGTTTAATTAAGTAGTAATTTTTTTTTGATATAACTGCAGTTTACTGGTCGCTATTTTTTTTTGGTCGTCACCGTCGTCGTCATTGTAGTCTTCATCTTCTTAGTAATCTTAATCGTCACCTTAACACAGAGTAGTTAGTGGAGGCGGTGAAAAATGGTCGATAATTATTGTTGTTCATTCTTTTGTTTCAGCTGTGTTACTTTTCAGCGTAAAAATTTGTTGGATTTACTTTCGCTCTACTTTCCGGAACTATTATTGAATAGTTAAAAGACAAGTATACTAACTGCACTTTATTTACAGACATTTTACTACAGTATCTTTTTAAGTCACAAATGGCAGCAAGAATAAAAGGTATGGTTTTAATTTTGGCTCGCTTATGAAGCGAGTAAGATAAAATCAGCTTCAAAGTTGGGATAGAATCAGTTTTTTCTTTACTGGAATATATATATGATATCCTGATTTTATTTTGATCAGTATTTAGCGGAAACAAATTTTAAAAAAGGAGAACAGAACTGCCTAGCGTGTATTTTTTCTACTTTGTTTCTTTCATTTTCCTGAGTAACACAGCAGATATTTTACGTGGCAGTTGTTGAATATGGCTTTTTTCAACTAATTTCCTATCTTATGAGTATTGGGCAAAAAATGAAAAAGAATCTTCATAGAAATGAGAAAGAAAGGGATAAGAGGAAGAAAAGTGAAAGTAGTAGAAAAAAATGTTAAGATGGGTTAGGTTGCTGGCTATTGATGGTAATGATGACGGCGTTGGACGGCTAAGTTAATTGATGCGCATTTTTTAAGCAGAAAAATTTTCTTTCAAGTTCTGAAATTTGTCCCTTCTTTTTCTTTTTTGTATGTCGAAACGTTTCATAACTATTTTGTATTAACTTCAAATGCTAAAAAGTTGGGTGACTAGGAGTGGTTAGTCACTCATTTTCTTTGCCGTTATCTTAATGCTCGTCGTCGTGTCATTTATTCCGTAAAACGACAAAAAACAAAATTTAACTTGCTGATGATCTCTTTGGTTTTTCATTTTTTTTTTCGTTTTTCTCTCAAGTTTTATTTTATTGACCGATTTCTCCGTTGAAGTTCCCCACTTTTATCGGCAAAAGAAAAAGACAACAAGAAAAAGCAGAGAATAAATGCTGATTTTCTTCTCGATTAGTTATCTGCTAATATTCGGTGCAGTTTTTTTATAATTTTCAAATTATTTTCTCCCGCTGTATTTGCATTGTTGCATTTCTTTTGTTCTTTTATGTTCTTCTGACATTAGTAATAATTATGTAATTTTGTGAATTTGCTTTTAC